TTTGTATAAAACTCTTTCCATCTCATATTTGCATACCATGGTGGCAAACCTAACGCAGCGTCATTTGACATGGCAGTTTGCATTTGTACATCTGTTGGCACTTGACCATAGTTTGCCATTGCAGTTTGTATTCTAACTTCATTTGGAATATTCTCTGGGTTTGGTTGTCCAGGTTGCTGTGCATTCGCTAAGTTCTGTGCGTCCATTTAATATTAGATAAAAATATCTCTTACGAGTACATATACTGGACATTTGCAGGCATTGGTTCATCTTCATATTCTCTGTACTTTTCTGCCACGTCAAATAAATAAATGACACAATGGAAAAAACCTAAAACAAGTAGTCCTATTTCAAACCACATTTACTTACTAGTAAAATTTCTTTGTTATGACACTTTCTCCGGTTTATAGGACCTCTCTCATATTCTATCTTGTCAAGACTTCTTCGTAAATGTTTTGTCAAGACTTCTTCGTAAATGTTTTGTCAAGACTTCTTCGTAAATGTTTTGTCATGATTTCATCGTACATGTTTTGTCATGATTTCATCGTATATGTTTTTGTCATGATTTCATCGTATATGTTTTGTCAAGACTTCTTCGTAAATGTTTTGTCAAGACTTCTTCGTAAATGTTTTGTCAAGACTTCTTCGTAAATGTTTTGTCAAGACTTCTTCGTAAATGTTTTGTCAAGACTTCATCGTAAATGTTTTGTCATGATTTCTTCGTAAATGTTTTGTCATGATTTCATCGTACATGTTTTGTCAAAACTTCATCGTACATGTTTTGTCAAAACTTCATCGTATATGTTTTGTCATGACTTCTTCGTCAATGTTTTGTCATGACTTCTTCGTAAATGTTTTGTCATGATTTCATCGTATATGTTTTGTCAAGACTTCTTCGTAAATGTTTTGTCATGATTTCATCGTATATGTTTTTGTCATGATTTCATCGTACATGTTTTGTCAAGACTTCTTCGTAAATGTTTTGTCAAGACTTCTTCGTAAATGTTTTGTCAAAACTTCATCGTACATGTTTTGTCAAGACTTCATCGTACATGTTTTGTCATGATTTCATCGTATATGTTTTTGTCAAGACTTCATCGTAAATGTTTTGTCAAGACTTCTTCGTAAATGTTTTGTCATGATTTCATCGTATATGTTTTTGTCATGATTTCATCGTATATGTTTTGTCAAGACTTCTTCGTAAATGTTTTGTCAAGACTTCTTCGTAAATGTTTTGTCAAGACTTCTTCGTAAATGTTTTGTCAAGACTTCTTCGTAAATGTTTTGTCAAGACTTCTTCGTAAATGTTTTGTCAAGACTTCTTCGTAAATGTTTTGTCAAGACTTCTTCGTAAATGTTTTGTCAAGACTTCTTCGTAAATGTTTTGTCAAGACTTCTTCGTAAATGTTTTGTCAAGACTTCATCGTACATGTTTTGTCATGATTTCATCGTATATGTTTTTGTCATGATTTCATCGTAAATGTTTTGTCAAGACTTCTTCGTAAATGTTTTGTCATGATTTCATCGTATATGTTTTTGTCATGATTTCATCGTATATGTTTTGTCAAGACTTCTTCGTAAATGTTTTGTCAAGACTTCTTCGTAAATGTTTTGTCAAGACTTCTTCGTAAATGTTTTGTCAAGACTTCTTCGTAAATGTTTTGTCAAGACTTCTTCGTAAATGTTTTGTCAAGACTTCTTCGTAAATGTTTTGTCAAGACTTCTTCGTAAATGTTTTGTCAAGACTTCTTCGTAAATGTTTTGTCAAGACTTCTTCGTAAATGTTTTGTCAAAACTTCATCGTACATGTTTTGTCAAGACTTCATCGTACATGTTTTGTCATGATTTCATCGTATATGTTTTTGTCAAGACTTCTTCGTAAATGTTTTGTCAAGACTTCTTCGTAAATGTTTTGTCAAGACTTCTTCGTAAATGTTTTGTCAAGACTTCATCGTACATGTTTTGTCATGATTTCATCGTATATGTTTTTGTCATGATTTCATCGTACATGTTTTGTCATATCTAAACTCATAGTCATGTATGTCCTCTAACCATCTCATAACGGTTTCCAAACCACTTTTATCGGATGTAAAGTAAAAGCATGGATGGTTATGTAAAACGTCTAAAGTTTCTAAAGAGTCTCTCAAAGTATACTTCCTTGGAACGCCCGTAACTTTTCCTGTAGCGACGATAGACCCTTACTTGTCCGGACAAAGTTATACTATTTTGAGTGCTCTACCAAAAAGTCAACAGCAACGACTTTCAAAAATTTTTATGGGCTAGAAGGGGCGCAGCCCCTGGGAAGCCCCCTATACCCAAAAAACTTCATTTTATACTTCATTTATACTAAACATCTTCAGGGCTAGAGGGCACGAAGTGCCTGGAAGCCCCACTACCTTTTTTTTTTTTTTTTTTTTTTTTTTTTTTTTGATAATATGCATTTATATTTATTCATTATCAAGATTTTTAAAATATTTTGATTTAAAAGAGCTCTAGATATTAATGTTTCGTGCATATCATGTAGAATATGAGTAGGTGACAAAAGTGCTTACTCTTAAACAACCGTCGGATTTCCGGGTGAAATCGTGACACACTTTCGTCTTTCGTAGGCAGTGGTGGTTGTTAGAAAAGGTAACTTCGAATGTAGCGTGAAATCTGCAAAAAAAAATTCTGAAATTTGAATGGAGAACACAAAAATTGAATAGTTTACGTCAATAAAAAAGAGAAAAATGAAGCCAATGTGTCTCGAACCTCGGACTTAGAGCAGTAATCCCACTGTTTATCAAATTACACTACATGCATCTCTCACCTCAGTGAATGAGATCAACTATATGATAACTTTTTCCCCATTATATTCTTGTGGAAAAGTGACAAATAGCAACTTTGACCCTCTCTCTGTAGAATATGTCAAATATATTAAATTTTATCAAAAAATCATATCCTGCCATTGAAGAAAAAGAGAATAAATCACTTTCATTAAATTTTTCCTAAATGTGAGGGGGGCACAAACTTGCCCAGTGAAGTGAAGTGAAAAGTGACAAGTTTACATGTCAGAAATGTAAAGTGTCAGATTTGAAACAAAAAATGGATTAATTTATTATTATATGATAGAGAGATTTGGTAAGTTACTATCAAATTTGTAAGTAAGGGGGAGAAAAAAAAGTAAGAAAGAAAAAAATTTAAAAAATAAAAAGCCACTCGCTTCGCTCGCGGTTGACAAAAAGAACAAATTCGAAAAATAATTGTATGAAATTACGAAACTAAGCCACTCGCTTCGCTCGCGGCTTAAGAAAAGAACAGATTCGAAAAAAGATTGTACGAAATTACGAAACTAAGCCGCTTGCTTCGCTCGCGGCTTAAGTAAACAACATATTTCAGATTATCGATACTAAAAATTTTTTATTTTATTACTTTTTTTTGCATTTTTTTAAAGCTTCTTCACTTAAATCATGGAATGTCTCAAAGACAAAAGTAGCATACAGCATGTAAAGCTAAAGAAAGATAATCATAATTAATACCTTAATTTTTAATATTACGCATTTTTAGGTGCAAAATTTAAAAACATTCTAATACAATAGAGCAGTTTCCAAAAGTAGCATACAGCATGCAAAGCTAAAGAAAGATAATCATAATTAATACCTTAATTTTTAATATTACGCATTTTTAGGTGCAAAATTTAAAAACATTCTAATACAATAGAGCAGTTTCCAAAAGTAGCATACAGCATGCAAAGCTAAAGAAAGATAATCATAATTAATACCTTAATTTTTAATATTACGCATTTTTAGGTGCAAAATTTAAAAACATTCTAATACAATAGAGCAGTTTCCAAAAGTAGCATACAGCATGTAAAGCTAAAGAAAGATAATCATAATTAATACCTTAATTTTTAATATTACGCATTTTTAGGTGCAAAATTTAAAAACATTCTAATACAATAGAGCAGTTTCCAAAAGTAGCATACAGCATGCAAAGCTAAAGAAAGATAATCATAATTAATACCTTTAAAGTTTAAAATCTTGATTTTTTTTAAAATCAAATATTTATAACTTTAATACATACAGCTTAAACCTTATACTTGTTTTCTCTTGTGAGAAAGCAATCTTACAAAGCTAACAATCCTAAAAAATAAAGAATTAAAATTTAATAATTTAATCTAAAATTAAAATCAAAATTAAATAAAATGAGTTCTTTGTAATAATACTTTCAAGGTAGGATATATTTTAGTGGGATCTATTGAGTCATCACTAACAGCATTGAGCAATCTATTGAGCATTGAAATACTCTCGATTTTTCTTTGTCTTTTTACATCAATTTCTGCGTTAGTTGCTTTTTCCATGATCCTAATGACACGGTCATCTGCTGGATTTTGATCAATTTTGAGTTTGATAACGAAAGATGGTATCACTTTTGTATAAATTTCTATAATAACATCATCAATTCTGAGATTTTTTCGATCAGGAAAATAGTCATGTTTGAGTGTTCTAAAATGAGCTTCGGCAATATTGTTAGTTGCGTCGCCTTCACGCCTGTCACGAGCAATCCATCTTGATATGTTGTAACGCCATTGTCTGTTAAAGTATTGAGATGCTGTTGGATCTGTGTCGAGCAACTCCAGAACTTGATCATAGGCAGCATTTGCTTCTTCCTCATGTTCTGCATCTAATTTGAAGACTAAATCCTTCATCAAATTATAGAATTGTTCAAATTTTTCTTGAGAAGAAAACTTATTTGATTTGCGAAGAATTGCACGAAGAACATGTACTCCGCACCAAAGTATTTGAGCTTGTGGAATGCTTTCTTCTATTGCTTGAGCTATCTGTGGAGCACAGTCCATGCTAATGTATTCTGGCTCAATTGTTACCCATCTGAGATAGGCGCACACGCAAACTTGAATGTTTTGATAAGTGTCTGGTTGACAAAAGAAATATAAAAAAGGGAAAATGTGAAAATCTTTGATTTTGCCAGTAAATGCATACAATGAAATGTTTGATCGCAACAATTTATAGGTGCTGTCTATATGAAATGTCTTGATACTATGCGCATAAGCTTTGCCTTCAAAAGACGCGTAATAGAAACACATATTATTGTCTGAGACTTCAAATGCAATGAGATCATCTGGAGATTCTTCTTGTACTGTCTGAACAAAGATTTGCAATGACACAACATCGTCAGGAGAATATCTAGTTTGAAGAGCATGTATTCTCTCTGCAAATCGTTTGATTGCACGTGGTTTTTGAGCGTACATCTCTGGAATGGACGGACCTGTAAGAGGAATTTCAAGATCTTTAAATGCATTTAGCTGTGCTATCGCTCTTTGATTGTCATCTGTTTGGAAGTAATGTTCTAAATATTTGCGATAAAAGACAGACGAATATTGACTTTTGTCATTTGGGGCGGAATAATCATGTTCTTCAACTATTTTGATTAGTTTGTATTTATTTTGATCCAAGATTGCAACATTAAAATATGCAGGACATTTTGGATATTTGCAGTGGAATGAAATCTGAGATCTTTCTTTTCTGACACGTTCACCATATCCATACTGTGCTTGTATTTCTTGTTTAACTCCAAATTTACAAAGATCCATAACAGTAAAGATAGTTTCTTCTTCTAATTTCATTTGAAATTGAAATGAAAATTAAAAATTCAGAAATTTGAATAGATTTGGTCTGTAATTAAATGAGAATAGCAGTTTGTTCGTCATTGTTAGTACAGTATACATTGTGCGTCGCCTGTAGCCTACAGCTACAGGCACCGACACAATGAAAAAAGTGACAGAAAACTGACACCATACGGGCGCGCATATGTACGCATATATGTGTAAAAATAAACGTTCATATGTAAACTAACCTTTATTCACTAGCAGGGGCTGATAAATCATAATCGTCGAGAAGTACGATAGGTGGTCCCACCTGTTTAATCTGTATGGAGAGGCAAACGTGACGTAAGAAGCATAACACTGGTTTCTCAGTATATTTAATAGACTCTGCTGTTGGCTTAACTGTAAGCTTATATGTAATAGGTGAATTAGATAACTGACCCTGTTGGAATGTATAATCAGTTTCGCAAGGGAATCCACATAGGTAATGACCTAAGTCATTTGACTCGATTCCAAATTGAGGGACTGATGTGGTTGTGATAGACCTCATGACATCATAGTTGAAGCCAACAGTATCGTTATTATTGTTAGTGGCATTTGCCTGCATCTCATAGAAGATTGGATCATTAGATGCTTGAGCCTCAGCGGGTATGTTACCATATGCTCCACAGTTCAATTGAATTTGTTCAAACAATGGATTTTCATAGGTAGTGTTATAATTAGGTGTTTTCTTAAATAGTGTATAAATGGTGTTCACATATAATGGAGTAAATGCTGCCGTGAATGTACAAGGAGTTCCTTCACCTTTAGCCATTGAACCATCCATAGTAATGCAGTCAATTCTTTTGATTGGGAAGTTTAGAGTCTTTGCCGAATATCTTGTCACCAAATCACTATAGATGTTAGGGTCCAAAGAGAATGAGTTACAGTATGTAATCATTTCAAAGAAGTTTGCATTCTTCTTAGTGAACTTAATAAACTTGGTACCAAATGATATCGTACTCTTATCGGCATTCCAAGTTACAGTATCAATAACTTTGATACCTTCATAGATAGGAGTGAAGTGATTAGTGATTGGAATATAGCTTGTAACATTGGCTTGCATGTTCGGTAATGGTAGAATATCCTGATAACTTAATGGTGTCCAAACCATACCAGCAATACTGAACTTAACCTTAAGTTGTAAGTTACCAGCAAACGCTGGAAGGAATCTAATGTTATTAAGTATTAGGAATCTTCTTAGGTCAATCTTGATTGGTATGTGGAACTTTAATGTAGTTGCACCACTAATTGGTTTATTGAACTCAATAATCTGTCCAGAACGAACTGTATCACATCTATTGAAAACATCTTTATGTCTAGCCTTACTAAATACATCAACTTTCTTAATAGCTTCTGTTGTAGATGCAGTAGAAGTAATGTAACCTTCTTCTCTAGCATTATCTTGTGTATAAACACTTTTACCATTAGCGATTAATTGATATGATTCAACAGCATAGAATGAATCAATGTATCCCAACCAAATTGCTGGAAGATGTGCACATGATTTGCCACCAGCATATTTAGTATCAATTGCTTTAATTGCTGTAACATTTGATCCTGTAGGAGCTGTCTCAACAGCTCTTTCTTTATATACTTCACCATCATATTTAGGAACTTTTTCATCAGCTGGTTCAGTTTCTGTTGTAATTATGCACTCACCATCGACATAACCACTAATGAACGTATTATATAAGTCAATCATGTTCTCACCAGGTGGTGATATGTTAAATGTAATATAACCGTTATCAATAGTATTTGTCGGCATAGCTGGCACTTTTGTTGGGACATATCTATGGTTAGTATCTCCAATAGGAACTGCCCCATCAACTTGATCGAAATAATATCTTACTTGTCTGATGGAATCAGCAATACTGTATGTATTGAGGTTATCGTTCAACATCTTTCTCAGCTATAAAAAATTTACAATCTTCTTATTCTTGGGATTATTCGTCTTATTTGTGGCTGAGGTTTAGGAGGTTCTGGTTCAGGCTCTGGTTCATCATCGAAGTGTATTCTTTTCTCTTCCATTGATTGAACATATTCTTGATTCTCTTTAGTTTCCTTCTCACGTTCAATTGGGTCCATGTTTGGTTCATTAACTACACTGTTACGTTCTAATATCTTTGTCATCATCTCTAACAACATTTTATTAGTATATGCTTGTTCTTCTTCTTTCTTCTCATCAACTTTAGGAGCTTCTTGAACAACAGGAGCTGGGGCAGGAGCTGGTGAATTCAATGGTGCCTTTCTCTTTCTAACTTGAACTGAACCATTCTTCATATGACAAACATAATATAATGGATGTTGTATTCCTTTAGCTTCATTCAATATGATTGATTGCTTTTCACTTGGTGAAAGTTTTGACGTCATTTCTATCCTAATAAAATTTTTTACTCCTAACAAAATGACTGAGAATACTTTCGACAGAGAAGCACTCAAGAATGAACTTCGTGAAGAAATACTTAATGAACTCAAACCAAAAGAACAAACACAAGAAGAGAAACCAGCTAAACCAAAGCGTAAACTCACAGAGAAACAATTAGCTGCATTAGCAGCTGGACGCGCAAAGAATCCACGAATGATTGCAAAGAAATTGAGAGAAGAGGAAGAAGCTAAGAAAAATAATAAGTAAGTGTTTAGAACTTTAACTTACGTTCAAAAGATGACTTCGTTGAAATAGTGAAGTCCTTATTTTTGTTGAAGCATGGTTTCGAACCAATGCACAAGTCAAAGGTTATCTCATCACCTTCATAAAGAGATTTGTACAATTCCACGATGCTATATTTTTCCCCAACTTTCTCAGGGAAGAACAAACCTTTCTTCTCGTCATAATGTACTTGTATCGCATCTGGGAACATTTGGTTTGCAGTAAGTGCAATTACGTCCTGTGTGATTCCCTTCATTCGACAGTGGAAAGCAATTTCCTTGAGGTCATTGGTTAATTCGTCGAGGTAAGTCTTCTTTCCAACGAATATAGATCTTTGTGCCTTAGACATATGTCCTGCAGTAATCTCTGCAAAGTCTGAATGAAATTGACCCAGTGCTTTTCCAATGAGTTCTCTGTTATACCTTCTCTTGTATTCTTCTGCTAACTTATCTAAGTCCTTCTCATACAAGTGTAAACTATCTGTATCCTGATAGAACAACTTCAAGCCCAAATCTTCTGCTGTGAAGAATACTTCATTCATGATTCGTTTGGACATAGAAAGGATTGAAACACCTAATGGACAATAGTTAAAGTGACGAACGATAGGTTTAAATGACTTTACACATGAAAGTTCGGAATCGGGGATGAACTCTATTGTCTGTATGTCATTATAGTTCTTAATGATATAGTCAGTGAGCTTATTGTCCTTGATGAAACGAATCTTTTTGTCAATGGGCTTTAATATCGTCTTACCATAGATACTGTTCAAAAGAAGTTTGATGATCTCTTGTATCGGATTACCTTCCTTCTTATACTTAGCACGTAATTCGAAGAGCTTCTTAACTTCATTCCTTATTGTCATGTCCCTTTTTCCATCATAATAGTATCCATCAATGACTTTGCATGAGATCTCTTGGAACTTGATCAGATCTTGAAGCGTAATGTGGTCTACGAACATCTTGCAGCATGTATTGGAACTTCTGGCAACATGTAAGTCAGGGTTGATGTCAGGATTGACGACAATCAATGGGAATGCTGAGTTCTTACCGATCGACAAGATCTCGATCTGACAGTAAAATCCTGAGATGAACTTTTCCTTTGTTGGTTCAGCTTGGTCATCATCAAAGAGATGCTCCAACAAGTATTCACTGCTCTTCATCTCTTCTGTCATAACTTTTGGAATTCCTTCTAAACAGTAAAGTCTAGCAATTGCTGATGGATACAATGATACAGCATCGAAGTCAGTGATGAGTTCTCCTTCATTGTATTGCTTCTTGTTCTCAGCTAGCATGCATCTTCCTCCTTGAATACACTTGGAAATATATTCACGAGGTTTTCCTGCAAGATCAAAGAGATTACCGTTCTTCCAATATACTCTCTTCTCAAAGAGTTTGTTTGAGATAGAACTTATTGAAACATAATCATAAGCATCTATTTCAAACTCAGTCATGAGGTCATTGCGGAACTTAAGAAAGCCATCTCGTAAAATGCGTACATCTTGACCGCAATAGAATGACGAATAAACTTCCATGTCAAAGTGTTCATCATCAATCTTGCAATCTTCAATCTTCTCAATGTTCTCATTAAAAGCTTCAATATCTTTGACATGATTCATGGCATCATCGATGTTACCAACTTTAGTTGTATTAACTAACTCTTCCGTGTAGTAATTATATGGGAAAACTTCTTTTTCACCACTAGTGAGGTGAAACATTTCAGGGAATCTTTCCAACTTAGTTGAGATGATTGCATAAGAGTCTTTGAAGCAGAGAAGTTTTCCTTTGTACTTTCCTTGTATCTGCATCGTTTGTGAACCTTTGATGATTGGAGTTCCTGTAATCTCTTCTAACTGAGACATGAGAAAAGTGACATCGTACGATAAGTTGTGGAAATAAACTAAACTCTTATCTGGTAAAGCTTCGAGGAATTTTGACGCACAGTCACTTCCCCAAATTGATGTATAACCATCATCGTCATCTTCCATGAAACAAATGTTGTATGCTTTGTGAATGTTTCCATCAGTTGATGCTTCGAAGTCAGCAAAGAAAACATGTTCTCTTGGGAACTTCATGTCTTTCTTCGTCTCTGAACTCCAATCTTTCTTCATCCTTGCGCAATAACGCTCATTGTATGTGAGGTCAATCATTTCTTCAAGGTTCTCATTATACATCGTTGTGAAGTATGTGCAAAGTTCTCCTGTTCTAATTGGTTCGAAATAATTGTTAGCAAACAAGAGTTCAATGACTTTTGCAAGTGGTGTAACTAACTTTGAGTTAATTGCATACCTTGTTTCATATCTTCTGTTAACTAACATCTTCTTCTCTAAAGTCCAATCCTTGCACAACTTACAAACATCTTCATAGTTCTTGATGAACATTGAACTTATTGGAAGCTTTTCGTTCAACATGTAGTGGTCATACATTAATAAAAGTTCTACTGTCATCTTTGGTTCTTCATCTGGTTCATAAGTATATGAATGATTTGAATACTTCTCGTTGTATTTGATGACATGGAACCTTATTCCTGTTTCTTTGGCAATAACCTTAATCTTTGACATTGGAAAATCTTTGACACGAATGATTTCCCTCATATGATTAATTGTTGCTTCGTCAACACCAGCTTGAATACAAGCGTAGATGAAACATGAATCTTTCATCATCTTCTTTGCTGTCTCTGCATTAAGTTCGTTGAAGATCTGATACCTCTCTAAGTTAATAGGTAATTTGCATGTCCATGTCCAAAGCTGACCATTACGTGACCTGTTTCTCTTCTTTGAATGGTTTTGTTTGATGATCTTGAGTGCGATCTTTTCTTGACCTGCTGCTCTCATCGTATCTAACATAACTTGTTCTTCAGCTGTGAGTTTATATGGTGTGTACGTTCCTTTTCTCAAAGCAGAAGCATCAACATCTGAATAAGCTGTATAGTCAAAGATCTCGATCTTCCTTAACGAAGGAATACTACAAAGGAAGAAGTCATAGTTTGATTCAAGGACTTTAGATGCTAATTCTTGTACTTCTGCTATTGGAGCTTCATTAAGTAACTGATGAACTAATGATCCCATTGTATTGATGTTCAAATGACGCAAAATGTTTCTCTTCTCATCAAAGTCGTAATAGAATGTCCACTTCTGTTTGAAAAGGTCTATCTGTCCAATGAACTTTGCCATAACTCTTGGAAACATCTTGTTGAAGTAATCTTTTCCTCTTGGACTGTATTGGTCAATGTTAAACATAATGAATCTTTCTCCTGCTTTAGTTATTGGGTCTAACCATTTCTCATCAGGAAGTTTTTGACCATTAATGTTCTTAACAACGTAAAAGGCATTCTGTATTTCTTTGTATGCTAATTCGCTCTCATCAATCTTTGGTGGAGGGTCTGAGTATATTGGTTGCATCTCCATTAACGCTCTATTATGAGATCTCTGATCGTGATCTAAAGCAACTGGGGAATTTGAAGCTGGAACATTCATGATACCATTGTAGTCATCATAGAAGCTCTTAGCATTCTTGAAAATATCTGCTACACTTCCTGTACCTCCTTGATTCTTAATTGCCAGAGCTAATTTATTGGTAATGTCTTTAGCTTTCTTAGGCATTTTGATCCCAAACATATCAAGCATACCTTTCTTATCTTCTGGTGAAAGGTTATTAACTAATCCTTTTATAGCATTGAGCATGTTGGTCTTTTATAACCGATAAAAAAATATACGTTATTTTTTTTTAATCGTCATCGTAATCATAATCGTACGAAGATTCTGTATCATCATCACTGACATCATTGGTTTCTCTAACTTCTGGCTTATCTGGTTTAATCTCTATCACCATAAACATTGGTGACAATAATCGAACAGGCTGATCTTGGAAGTCAACTAAGGTAAACGTAACATTAGTTAGTTCCCATGGAAATGCATCTATCCATGGTGAGGATTCCTTACATATAAGTGGTTTACCAGATATCCAGAACTCATTGATGTTATAACATGTAGATCTGTACATGATCTTTCTTCGATCATCAACTTGGTCAATATTATTGAACCCAGAGATGACAGACATTGATGAACGAAGGTATAACTGATACCCGAAGTTGAGCATAGGTGGTTTTGGCATTTGTAGATAATAATTATGTACAATAGGTAGTTCTATTCCATATGCACCTAAAATAAGATTTGCTCTATGTGAAGCATCTTTTAAATAGACTTTATGTCCTTTGTCCTGTGACGTAAATATAAGTTGATTCGTAGCACTCAGTGAAACTGTTACATTATGTTGACCTTTTTTCTTGTTATAATAATCAAACTGTTTTGTTACAATCTCTTGTAGTTTTGATACAATAGTATCCATATCAAATGAAAGAGCTGACTTAAATGTACACACCTTTTCTTCTCCATCTTCGTCTAACTGTAAGACAAAATAATCTGTTTCGTCACAAACAATAAAGTTCGCCATAGTACTGACACTTTTTACTCATCTTTATCTTACTTGGATGCCCCATGTTAGGATCTTGCTTGAAACTGTATTGTCCCGTAGTTATTAGGATCAGTCGATTGTAGATAATACATCATTTTTATATGTAGTAAAAGAATGAGTGTTGTTCCATATGCATATGAATGTTATAAGTCTAGCGTACTTCAATATAAAGAATATACTCTCAGAATTACTGATAATGCTTTAGTCATACATAAAGAAGGTGCTGATGAAGACATTACCATCGGTCCTGGTATATTACCTATCGAGCAACCAGATGGTACAATTGTTGAAACAGACTTAAATCAATACCTTCAAGCGTTACAGAATCGTGTGACAAAAGTAGAGAATAATTACTTAGATGCTCCATTCTTCACAACTGATAGAGATTATATGTTTTCATGTATGGCGAGTAATGGTTTGCAAGAAACTCGTGAGGTAAATATTAATGAAGCATTAGAGACTATAATATATCATGTTAAACGGTTATTATCGATTGACCATGGAGTTCATTTTGACCCAAGGTCTACACTGTTCAATATACCAATGATTGAAAACAGTCAATTAACATTTAAAGAAGATACATTGTATAATGCTTTAAACGCAGCATTTGCTTATATATTAGGTCATGAACAAGTACAAAATAGTGGTATTGCAATATACTTAGATAAAGTTATGTTAAAGAAACCATTGACATTCACAGAAGATGGTCCAAAAGCAACTGGTATTGTTGGTGATGGAACATTATTGACGAAAGAATACTTAGCAAGTCATGTCGGAGAATTTTTCTCCACTAATGATAGCATCAGTACAACACCAGAAGTTATTTTATTGAAGAAACCAATCACATTTGATGTTAAAGGAAAGACAAAAGCAACTGGTATAGCTGGCGATGGAGTTCTTCTGACTAAGGAATACTTGAAGAAAAATATCAATGACTTCGTTGAAATTGTCAAAGATAAAGAATCTGGTCTTAAGTTCAACCCTTTATCATTCATCTTTGCCATAGCAAACGCCGGTGCTACTGCAGCCTCATGGATATCACTCCAGAGTCAAATAAATGCTCTTTGGGCTTTTGTTGAAAGTCAAGAAGGTATAGATACTGTTCTTGACACTCTGGGTAATCTTGGTCCAAATCATAAAGGAGGTTTTGTGGATGGAATAAAAAATTTAGTTGAAAAGACTAAAACAAGTTTCCAGAAGATAACTCATATAGAAAGATTCAGAAATGAAGGTTATATGGAACTTGAGAGTTTTGATGTGACTGGACCTTTGGAACCAATTCCAATGCCACGTGATGCTAATGATGAAGAAGAGAAAGATCCTGGACCAAAAACAATCATTTCTACGTTAAGTACTTTGTACCCTGATTTTGTGACCTTAGTGAAAGTTGCTAATACATCAAGAAAGAACAATAATATTAATATGTCTGGTACTGATGACCTTACTGATTATCTTTATCTCATTCTTGCTGAATTAGCGAAGAAAGTTGAGGAGAACAAAAATAATGGAGGAAGAACTGCACTTAAGATTGCAGACAAAGCTGACAAAAGTTATGTTGACGAAGAGATACGTAAAGTTGCATCTAAAGAATATACTTTATCACAGTCTGTCATACTTAAGACAATCAAAGGTCCAGAGAAAGATATGTACCCAGGTGATGGTACAACAGTTAAAGTTAATGAAAGAGTTTCATTCCCATCTGGTATTGATACAAAAGAAGTATATATTAATGGTGAAAACATCAATACAACATTGATTCCTTTGAAACATAATGAGTTCACTGAACCTTTGACAGTTAAATCAATTCGTTCAAGAGAAGACAAACCTGTTATAATCAATAAAATAGGAGCTGATAATGACCAACCAGTTCAAATCAAGAAAATAAGAGCTGATGACATTATCTTGAACTATACTTTAGGTTCAAGTGCTCCACAAGAAGATCCAAGCACTAGTGTAAAGATACACTTAATTTAGATAGTAAATGTACGAACATTGAAGGTCATGTCAGAAACTTTGAAACACATGAGCTACCAACAATGTTAGATAAGAAAGCTGACAAAACTTATGTGGATGCAGAACTAACAAAGAAATTTTGGAAACCAGATAAAATGACATTTACAACAGAAATTATAAATGGTGAACCAGCAACTCCATTTGAATTTGTTAGAGGTCTTCAACCAGATACTTTTGAATTTTTCTTGGATAATTCTATTGAACTAACATTACATTATAAAAGTGGAACAAATGCAACATTTCATCCGGGAGATACATTCCAAATGGTATTTAATGACATAAGTTCTTTAGAATATGTTTATAGAGCTATGAGCATATATGATTTAATATATCCTATAGGAGCTGTTTATACGTCTATGAATCCAATAAATCCAAACACTTTATTTGGTGGTAGATGGTATGAAATAGTTGACAGTTTTCCATTCTACACTAATACGCAGTCAATGAAGATGGGAGGTTCAAAGAAAATAGGTATTGAAAACCTTCCTTCACATATGCATAGGTTCAGTGGAAGAACATCTGTGGAAGGAAACCATTCACATTCAATGACAAAAAGAGGTTATACAAATCTTGCAGCAGGTTCGGATAGACAGGGAATGCATAGATATGATATTTCAAGTGACCCAGTAGATTCAAGCACAGGTATTTTCTGTGGAACTGCAGGAAATCATACACATGTTGTAGCTGGCATTACAGACCCAGCAGGTAATGGAAAAGATTATATGCCTCCTTATATAACAATGCACGCTTGGATACGAGTTGGTTAACTCAAGATCACGATCACAAACTGTTTCTCAGTATGAATGAGTAGCTCTATTTTTACATCATTACTGAAGTATTTCTTTTCTTCATCAATGACAGAAAGAATGTTTTCATCATCTTTTAAAGATCTTACCAAAGTTAGATCTTCATCAGAAAATCTCAAAGAAAGACTCATTTATGCACTAATAAAAATATAGCTAATTATTTTTTTATCTGAACTTTTTATCGGGTATATAAAGATGTCTGAACATCATATAAAGTTCTTTAAGATCCAACAGTTTGTAGATGAAGTGAAGAAGCAAAATAAAACAGCAAAGAGACTACTTATATGCTTACCACAAACATTATGTCAAGGAAAGTATGGTTATAGTGCAAGTCCGATCATGATCTTTGTCGATAAGCAGAAATACACAAATGAAGGTTTAGCTAATTTACTCAAGTTTGAAAAGATAGCTATAAACATTCCTGACCATTTCTCAGCGAGAATAAACCTTGACAAGACTAAAAGTTATTGTTTATATGTAGATCTCACGAAATCAACAAAGAGTAAAGACAAAGAATATAACCCAGTTGAACTTAAGACAATGGGTAAGAACTTACTCAAAGCTGCTATCAAACCTGTCGAAGAGATCGACATTGAGGATGAAGCAGAAGAAATAGATGTAGATCCTGATGCATTATAAACGATAAAGTTTATTTTTGGAGGAAGATGGTGTCAGACCCTTTAATCTGGTATGCTTGTTCTAGGTAATTGCAGAAACCTAGAAAGATTGGTATTGGTCTGAGTTTCATATCTGTTCTCTCATCTCTCCATTGAAGCAAGTAAATTTTCATGAAGAGTTCGTCTGGATTCTCAGGTTTTGGTACACACTGATCGAAGATCTGTATGACCTCTTCATGACCGTACTCCCTATGGTCAGACATGAGTGTTAAGAAGAACTTTTGCATCTTCGGACCAGGTTTAGCATCTATGCAACGAGTGGGTCTCATTGACATTTTTGTCACTTTTATTTGGTCGAATGGAAGGATTCGAGTTCATGCCACTTGACAGCAAAGAAGGTGCAGAAGAGGTTGTTGTTGCTGCATTCTATGCGAGCTCACACGTTGACGCATTCCGAACTTACCAGGATGACCTCGAAAAAGAAGGTCGAAAGCTTGGAAAGATCCAAATGTTGCTTGAGTTCTTCCGTGGAAACCTTGCACAGAAGTATGAGAAGAAAGAATAAACAACTAATTATTACTGAGCTTAGCTCATAAATGTAAGTTTTTACTCTGATCAGATCTTAGATCTCGTCGGGACAAGCGGAAAGGATAAAGTCCATGAGCTGGACTTTTGTCTTAGTGAGCGGTACTGCGGTCATGAGTAGTTCGCGCTTGTTTGAGCCACTTGGAACGCGACCCTTCCAATTCCTCATAGATCTCAAGGCAGAGATCGTGAAGAACTCAAGGACAAAGAGTCTTTGAGACTTGGTAAGGAATCCCTCATCATCTCTTTCATCCTGGAGGGTCTTTGTGGATGCAGTGGACTTGATCTCGTCTTCCTCGATCGGATCATTCTCATAATCTTCATCACCCTTCTTCCTAAACGTCATCTGCTCTCTCTTGTAGTCGTTCCTGAGAGCATTGAGTCCAGCTTCAAGATCTTGTGAGTTCTTTGCAGGTTTATTGAAAGTTTTCTTTTCCTGCATTTGCTGTATAAGCTGGGTTTGCTGTTGCATCATCTGCATCATCATTGCCATCATATCTAGTGTTGGTGATGCTGGAGCTGGTGTTGTACCATCTTGGGACATTCGGTCGTCGGTTATGTCTTTACAAAAGACTGCTTTACAAAAGACAGCTTTACAAAAGACAGCTTTACAAAAGACAGCTTTACAAAAGACAGCTTTACAAAAGACTGCTTTACAAAAGACAGCTTTACAAAAGACAGCTTTACAAAAGACAGCTTTACAAAAGACAGCTTTACAAAAGACTGCTTTACAAAAGCATTTTCTCACAAAATTGAATACTTTTGCTTTACAAAAGACGTCTTGACAAAAGATTGCTTTACAAAAGTCTGCTTTACAAAAGACGTCTTGACAAAAGATTGCTTTACAAAAGTCTGCTTTACAAAAGATTGCTTTACAAAAGATTGCTTTACAAAAGTCTGCTTTACAAAAGACAGCTTTACAAAAGATTGCTTTACAAAAGCCATGACTGATCTTCATCCAATTTGTTTAATCGAACTTAATGAAGTAATTTCTGCATATCTCCTGCATGTATTTGGAAACGAGAGGATAAGACAACTCACCAAGGTTTCCAGACGCCAGATCCAAAGACTTGAATCAACTGCAGGAGTAATCCTAAGCTTTGAAGAAGGATTAACCAATAAGAAAGATGTCATTGACTCCAAGCGTGAAAGCCTTGCTGCTTTCTTACGCAAACACCCATGGGTCGATGTTGATCTCCAAACTCCTTACCAAGGACTCGTTGAAACCTTCACGACCTACAGACAGCTCCTTGACAGACCTGAGCAGAACCTTCTGGTCGAACGTGATGGCACATTAAGCCCTACAGACGAGTCAATCCAGAGAGAAGAAGCTCAAGAGTAAAAATCTGACATTTATACTTTACATGACATTTTTTTCATGAGTGTTCACGTTAAGATCAATGATGAAAACATGACTTCATGGGAAGATATCATTGATGACATAGAGAATGACCTTGATGAAAACATGATGGGAGCTCAAACGTCAGTTAAGGTCAAACTTGGTGAAGTTCAAGAAAAGATCTCCGAGATCAATGCAAAAATATCTGCTCTTACAGAGGTTGACGTTTATTACAGAAGCTTGGAGAGAACTTTAAGCAAACTTGAACGTCAGAACCAAAGTCTCATAGTTGTGCTCCAGAAACTCAGTCTCATGCGTAAAGCATATAATGACTACCTACATGTAAGAGACTTACCTTCTTATTCTACTCCAGATCTCGACTTTTCCGATATCAGTCCAATCCTTGCTGATACAACACTTACGATAGCAGGGATGCTTCCTACATACCCAGAGTATGATAACTTACCTCAGCTCTTCGAGTATCTCAAGAAAAAGTTCATGATCTTATTATGTGAGACCATGAAAAGACGTCAAAACACCAGAACAGAACGAGAACAGAGCTTACTAATAGACTTATTATATTATACTAAAGAAATAAAGGAGTTTTTATTCTAACTTTGGTATTTTTGGAAAGAACTGATCTGGATCATATTTGTCATCCACAGGTTTTGGTACCAAAAGTCTCTCTGGTTCTTGGACTTCAGGTAACGGAAATGGTTCCTTTGGTTTCCTAGCTTTTGGGAGATCAAAAAGTTTTCTTGGTGCCTTTCTTTTGTGTAAGTGTTGTCCATTTTTATCGACAACGAATGTGAGCTTTCCGTCGTCAAAGATGAATGTCGTCGCTTCTTCAGTTCCCTCATCAACTATTATCTTCTTGATCTTTCTCTTCTCCATTAACAGAAAAAGTGACATATATTACTTCATTGTTTTTCTGGGTGTTAGGATTAATTAAACCTCTATCTATAACATGCTTTCTCATAGAAAACTTCTCTCCATATCTTTTTGTCAATATCTCTAAAAGTTCTTCTGTATAAGATTTATCACTACTGAAGTAAATAGATGGATAATTAAGGACATCAAAGGTTTCTACAGTATCTTTAAGAGTCCATTCATCTCCATACTGTATAGAATAAGTATGGAAGTATGGAGGATCACATATAAAGAAAACATTGGGAAGATCTTTATACTCATTGAAGAGTATTCTCCAATCTTTATGAACAATAGTTAAACCTTCAAGATAGTCATCTATGTTTTCATCAAATAAGTTAGTATATCTGAGGTATAACACTTTCTTCATTAATGTGTCAAGATCATAGTATTTGTATGCTCCAGAATAGAGAAGACGTGAACATAATGTATCCCAGTCTATGTATGGAGCTTTACTTATAACTTCTCTGACGATCTCTTTCTGATCAGTAGGAATTTTCTCATCTGGCTTAACATTTATTCTCTCCTTAAGTTCCTTAAGTATTTCATTCGTGTCATGAATGTGTTTCAGTCTATCAACGTAGTTATCATAGTCGTTAGCTATGATCGTTGCTTTTGGGAACATAATATGCAACAGATGAGAGATATAGAGAGAACCACCAAAGAGGTCAACGAAGACATAATCCCCTTTGATGTCTTTGAGTATGTCGATAAGAGCTTTCCTGATCTTCGACTTATTACCTATGAAAGGTAAAGGAGGTTTGGTAAAAATCATTTATATGGTAATAAAAATAAGTGTTTACTTGAGACAATAACCTCTGTTGAGTTTGTAGAACAAGATCAGAAGTACGATCAAGTTCAAAACAACACAAATGGCTAGGATTGCGTTACCAACAATCTTTGTCTTTTCCCAGCAAGACTTCTTCTTTGGTTCATGTGCTGCTTCGACATCACTGTATGGCTCGGACATTAACTTAAAAAGTGTCATGACCACTTCATTTTTGATGAAGTCAACAGCTTATGTCCACTTCCTCCCACAAGCACTTGAGGAACAAGAGAAGGTCATCATTGAATACCTTCAAGCCACTGAGAAGCTCCAAAAGCTTCAAGATCTCCGCGAAGAGTTCAAGTCCCGCTTGAAACAGGAGAACTTACTACAGGAATACATGCTCATTTTGTACCCATTACTAGATGGCTCCCATTTACCATCAGAGTACACTGCAGCTCTTGATGCACTCAAAGATCTTCGCGATCACCGTCCGATCGGTAAAGAAGCCTTCGAGCTCACCATTGAGCAAGCCATCCTCGCCAAGTACAATGCAAAGAAGCGGATGCTCGAAGCTCTTGATAAGATCAAGGAGTACGTCGAAACGTTCTAAAATAATTACTTGAGTAAACAATAAGTTTTATTGAGTAAGTCTTGAAACATTTGTGCTTTTGTTCTTGTTTGAACAACCATATTTAACATTAGATAAAAAATTTTTTGGTTAAACATCATACTTAAGACATAAATTATACCTACTTATTAACTCAGTATATTGTGCATTATATGCATACTTAAACTCTTGAGCAATATTGTTCTCATCAATGATTCTGATCTGAGCTATTTTTGAGAAAGGTGGTGGAATACCACAACATGTGATGTCTGGGTCCAGTAGGTCTATTTCACACTTGAACCCAGTCATTCTGTGAACAACTTCTTCCAAGTCTGGCTTAGGTAGTAAGATCTGATCTTTGCTCACTAAGTTAGAAAAGAGCTCTTTGTCTTGATCTAACAATATCTTCTGGTATATACTAAGTAAATACTCTTCTACACCAATCCTCGATGAAGTCTCCACAGATCTCGATGAGGTCAGGTTGGAAGTTAATGGACTTAAAGGAGGAGGATACATTGGTGCTTCTGAGTTCGTAGTTGTTTCCTCTTTTTTTATCTCTGTTGGAGCATCACTTACTGTACCAGATGGATAGTTCTTTATCACAATGTTATTAGTTGTTCTTGAATCAACATTGCTTGTTGGTTCAATTGGAAGATTAGCTGCACCATAAAGAATTGACTTCGATCTCATTTGTTATGAGTAAAAATTGTTTTATTCTCATATAAATGACGAACATTAACCCAGAGAACAACACAGAATATACTGCAACAGGAGTTGTTTACAATGATCTAGATCAGATCGTCCAACTCAAAGCCCCAAGAGGAAGGAATTTAATAAGACAACCTCCACCAAAGATATATGTTGATGATGGTAGTAATGGGTTCAACTTAGTGTATCATTACTCATATCCTCAATATGCAAAAATTGGGTCTACCCCAAACGTGACAAACCATTATATGAACCTTTATGATGAAGCAAGGTTTCATGCACCAACGAAGAAAGAACCTGATGCATCAAGATTACATGAATTCGCAGACCATGATGGTTATAGCGATTACTCAATGCCTGTAAGACTTTAACGTTAATAAAAAAATGACTGTTGGTAAACAAGAAAAAACTTTAATACAAGAGGATTTGATGCTACCAATATATTCAACTGATATGGGAGCTTATCAATTCGATACATTTGAGAATCCTGGTGGAACACCACCATATTTTCTTTTGTTCATCAATGTAAACAGTAGAAAAGGTTATGCGTTCCCAATGAGTGAAAAGAACTCAAACAATGTTCTAAGTGCAATGCAGAAGTTCATTTCACAAGCTACAGGTGAAATGAAGCCTACAATACTTACTAGTGATGAAGACCCAGCTTATACGACACAAAATGTTCGAGATCTGTTGGTCAGTCATAACATTGAGCACATGACGACACAGAAATACAATCATAACATACTAGGTATTATTAATAGGTTCTGTAGAACTATTAGAACTATGTTACATATGAAGTTAAACCTCAAAGAAGGTGATAAAACACCACCTTTCACTGCAGATACAATGAGACAAATTATTAATGACTACAACACTGAATATCATTCAAGCACACAACAAAAGCCTGATGATTTCACAGAAAAGGATAATGAGGAATATATAAAGAAGCAAAGATTGAAAGAAGAGTATGTCAGAAAAAATAACCTTTATAACTTAAGACCTGGTCAAAAAGTTCAAGTCATAGTTGAACCAAGAACATGGGGTAAAGGTAACCAACAAAGAAGACATCTTGATCCTTCTTATTATACAGTTGATTCAGTTGATACAAGTGCATACTTGTTAAGAGCAAAAGATGGAAGTGTTGCAAGATATCCACGTTATCAGATATGGACAAAAATAGAGCATGGATTAAAGCAAGGAGAAACTTTAGATCAAGGAAGACACGGTGCTGTTAAAAGTATTGATGGTCATGAACTTGTCGGTAATGATGTAAAGTATGATGTTACGTTTGAGAACGAAAATACAGGAAAAGTGACAGGTAGAGGTATGCGTGAAGGTAATCCAAACAGGTTGTCACAAATGGAAGTACAGTATTGGAGGAAAAATATTAATGAAGGTCATGTTAAAGATATGCCTAGTTTTCTTGAGAAGTATCGTGGGTTTCGAGTTTAGCTTGTAAGTCCTTTATTTTTGTTTCATACAATGAGATCTTCCTTCTGATCTGTTCATCATTGAGAGGTTGCTTGACTTTACGGAACTGTACACGTCCGTCTTTCATTGTATGTACATAATATCCATCAGGAACCTTACCATCTTTTATATATTCAGTTAACCACTTTTGTTTAGTTGATGCTTTAATGACTTGACTCATTTCTTACTGGATAAATTTTTATGTTTTTTATCTTTTGACGATTTTTTCTTATCCTTATCTTTCTTCTTGTCCTTGTCCTTCTTTGATTTATCCTTCTTCTTGTCCTTGTCCTTCTTGGACTTCTCTGCTGCAGGTGGTGTTGGATTCTGTTTGACTTTAGCACTTGGGTCAGGACCTTGTCTTTGAGACTTAGATATAGATTGTTTAGGAGCTGCTGCTTGTTTAGTTGCTTCAGCTTGTTGTTTAGCTAATTCAGCAGCTTGTTTATCATTCTCTTCTATTTCCTTTGCACCAGTTGCGACTTCATTCTTGAACTTTTGGAGATTCTCAGCAGCATCCATTACCTTATTCGCTCCTTTAAACAATCCATAAAATTTCTGCCATGGTGATACTGAAGGTATATTTCCACCAATTGCTGGAGGAACTGATGCTTCAGGAGTTGGAGATGGTGTTTTGTCTGAATTGAGATGCTTTTCTGCTTCAAGAACTTGTGTAGTATTTTTCTCCAGGTATGCTTTTGCAACCTCCTTAACTTCTGGACGTTCATTATTTACATCCTGTCTTGGTGTTGATGTTTCAGTAGCGTTTTCCTGAGTTACATTAACAACAGGTTGCTCAACTGCTGAAACATTAGCTGCTTCAGTAATGTTATGAGTAGTTGAAACATTTCCTGATATACCTTCTCCTGTTGGAACTCTTGGAGCAATTGTTGTGATGTTCGCCATTGCAGGAGTTGGAGTAGGAGTGTCATCAATCTTTCTGTCAGCTTTCGTCGTTTGCGTTGTAGTATTTGTTGTTTCATTACCATATTTTGATCTTAGTCTGGTAAGCTCTAACTTCATATGTTCTTCAGGATATGCATACTTATTATATTCACCCTTAATATTCTTTTTCCATTCATCGTATTTATCTTCTGCTGATTTCTTAATTGATGCTAGTCCGTTTACAGCCAATTCATCAGTACCGTTATCAGTAGTCTGGTTATATAAAAGATTAGCAGCTGATCTAATTGTGTAATCCGTAAGATTACCAAAACGCTCTATTGTACCTAATGTTGTGTTCTTCAGTTCCTTTCCAATTCCTTGTGCAGCATCTTTGACTAAATCAGCACCCCATGCACCAAATTGTCTCACAGGAGCCGCTATTGATGGTGAAGGAGATGGAGATGGCGATGGAGTTGGTGATGGTGAAGGAGATGGAGATGGTGAAGGAGATGGAGTTGGCGATGGTGTTGCTGCTTTCGCCTTTCTATCAGCTTCTTCCTTAGCCTTTCTATCTGCTTCTTCTTTCGCCTTTCTATCTGCTTCTTCCTTAGCCTTACGAGCTTTTTCTTTCTTCTTAAGTTCCTCTAGTTCTTTACGTTCAGCTTCTTCTTTCGCCTTTCGTTCAGCTTCTTCCTTAGCCTTACGAGCTTTTTCTTTCTTCTTAAGCTCCTCTAGTTCTTTACGTTCAGCTTCTTCTTTCGCCTTTCGTTCAGCTTCTTCCTTAGCCTTACGAGCTTTTTCTTTCTTCTTAAGCTCCTCTAGTTCTTTACGTTCAGCTTCTTCTTTCGCCTTTCGTTCAGCTTCTTCCTTAGCCTTACGAGCTTTTTCTTCATAATATTTTGTATACTTATCATCAGCCCAATTACCAAGTGATTTGGCACCTGTTAGTATTCCATTTGCGGTTGATGTTGCTGTTCTTCCGAGCCATCCCCCTACCGCTGAAGCACCATTGCCAATAGCACTACCAGCATTTAAAATTCCACGACCAATCCATATCCCTGGTTTTGCCTTTGTATTAAGAGTAAGAAATTCTTCCTTCCTATCTTCAGGTGTAGGATTTGTAACAGTTCTTACAGTATCAACAACAGTGTCAACACTGGTTCCAATAGCACTACCAACAGCTGTTGCACCAGTTAGAATACCATGGGTAACTAAATCAGTAGCTCTTGAGACAACATTATCACTCGAGGCTTTCTCTGCTGGATAGTTTGATCCTTTGTAAGTTCCTGGACCACCTCTATTTGAAGCTTCTCCTTCAACTATTTTCTTCTCTTCTTGTGCTTGTTCTCTGGCAACACTCAATGCACGTTCTTGTCTTTGAATGTTGTCTTTCTTTAACATGTAACCACCAAGTGTCTGTGGTGGTGTGTTTTTATCTAGTGCAGCATCAATTGCAGCCTTTTCTTTTCGCTTTTCTTCGTCTAACCAATTTTGAATAGATTCTGCATCAGTTGGTTCAGCTGGAGTTGGAGACGGTGTTGGAGCTTTAGTTGGTGTTGGAGACGGTGTCGGAGCTTTAGTCGGAGTTGGAGATGGAGTAGGTGCTTTTGTAGGTGTCGGTGATGGAGTTGGAGATGGAGTTGGAGGTACTGTTGGTTCTGGAGTTGGTTCAACAGTCGGTGAAGGTGTTGGCGCCTTTGTGATTCTTGGAGTTGGCTCTGGTGTTCTAATAGGGGAAGCAGTTGGTGTATTAGCTCTTTTAAGAACCTGTGATCTTTCCGCTTGATTTGAATCAGATACTGGGTTAGTTGTACTAGGATGTGATACAGGAGTTATTTTTGGTGTAGGTGTTGGTTTATTTAATGTTATACCATGACTACTCGACATTGGTGGAGGACCTGCGTGAGCAGTTGGTGTCAGAGTTGGCGTTGGAGCTACTGTAGGAGTTGGCGTTGGAGCTACTGTTGGTTCAGGAGTGGGAGTTGGTGTTGGAGCTACTGTAGGAGTAGGTGTAGGAGTTGGTGTTGGAGTCGACATTTGTTTTAACCTCTCATTATACCAATTCTCCAAATAATAAGCCTCACCCATTAAGTTACTCTGTCTTTGTTTTATAGAAAATTCACCTAACAGTAATTCATCATGAATCATTTTCTGCAGCTTTGTCGTGTTTCTACTCCTTTATTAGAACACTCGATGTATTCGCCAATCCTCTATATTCCTTAATCATCTTATCTAGTTTGTTCATATTTGGTACTTCCTTTTTCTTCTCAGCGTTAATCTCATTAGATCGTTTCTCCAATTCTTCAACTACTTTGTAAAGCTTATTTATCTTGACATGTGATTCCTTTACTTCTCCAGTCCTTGGATCCTTAGGTTCCTTGTATTTAGCTAATTTCGTCTCTATATATCTTCGTTTAGCGTCATATCCAGGATCACTGGTTCGTAAAGGATGCGAAGGTGGACGAAAATAAGGTATGTAGAAATCTGGATCATCATTAATAGAAGAACGTGCTTTAAAGTTACGAACCGCGTCTGTAAAAGGGTCTCTACCACGTGCTGTATATGTTGATGTAATCAAAAAGCCTTCTCTTCTCATTGGGAAATTAATACGACCTTTTTGAACATATTCTTTCTCAAAGTATTGCCTAGCATTGTAATCAAAAGCAAGATCATTATATATATCGCGCAAAAAATCAAATGTATGCTGCTTGAACTTTTGATCGCTAATTATGGTACGAATTATCGGACGTTCATTCTCCCATTTCTTAACTCGTTCATCAATGAGTTTCCTCTCTTGTTCACTCATTTAAACCTCATAAAAATATATTATCTGCGTATAGTGCCACTAATAGCATTAATCCATGGCATGTCTGATAGTACACGTACTGACTGAACTAATGGCTTATGATTGTTCCAAATAGCTCCTCCAATGTATGCGTTATACTTATTGTTGTCAATAGTTTGTTGAGGTTGAACTATAGGTGTTTCAACAGGCTTGTCTCTACTGAAGTCACCACCAAGAGCTTTATTGAATGCTTTAAGATTCTTCGTTAATGCATTATCTTCACCTAATGTAGTTTTTGCAATTCTTTCACCAAGACTACCGATAACACCACCGACTTGACCAACTTGAGGGAAAAGTTTGTTAGCAATGTTAAATCCAGCACCTATTACAAGACCAGGATTTTTTTTCACCATACCCCATCCAGCTTTAACATAATCGCCAAAACCCATTTATTTCTTCTTAAAATAATGTCATCTTTTGTTGCTTAACTTCTTTAAAGTCCGTCTTTCCTGCAACTATATGAACTTCCATATATGAACGAGGTGTTGGTAGCTCTTTGTATTTGTTCCATAACTCTTCCCAATCTTCTGTTGCTCCTGACTGTTCAATCATTGACTGAAAGTCTCTCATAGAATAACCTTGAAAGATAACGAAGTCAGTGCATAGTCTCTTAATGTTTAAACATATATGTCTCCATGTTTGACACATGATGACAACAGTATAGTTATAATGTCTGACCTTAGTGATGAAGTTCGCTAATGGTGAACGTGGGTCATTCAATAAGTCATGACCACCATAATCGTCTAACACTAATAGAGAATTACTGGGATACTTTGTGAAAGGATATTTGTTCAACTTCTTTACAACATATATTGCAATCTTCTTATACTCAAACTTTCCATCAGGTTTCCTTAGTTGATGCTTTGTTAAGATGTGTTCCATCTCCTCTGAAATTTTTTCGAACTTACTTTGAACGAACTCAACAATAGCGTAATACTTTGCTTTCATCTTAACGTTCTTCATTAAATAAGGCATAAGTTCTTTATCATCCTTTTTCAGTACTGGTGCTTTAACTTGACTCATAAATGTCTTCGCTGTTTTATCCATTGTTCCTGATGTTGCTGAGATAACTATTGAGTCATAATATGGAGTATTAGTGAAGCGGTCTGTTATCATTATATGACGAATAACACCATATGTCTTACCTGAACCCATCTTACCGCAGTAGAAATAAACACCATTAGTACAAAATGGATAATCATCAGAAAATGGCATAATGAGTGCATTGTTTAGTTCTTTACTATTCTTACGTGCTCCATCATGAAGAATCTTATCTACTTGATTAATAACTTTCTCCATCTTTTAGTTACATATAAAATGTCTAAATATGATGGATTATACTATGAACATGTTATGAATGATGGCACGATAAGTGGTAATACAGTCTCATATAAATTACCGAGAGACTTCATTGAATATCCTGCGTCAAAAGCTCTTGAGATAAGAAAGATAAGTCTTGAGCATCCAGACTTTGAGTTTCTTGCTATTCCATTAGAAATGACAGATTCATCAAAATCAGTGAAAAAAAGGTTTGACATGAGATATTACATAAAACCCAACATGACTACACAGGAGTTGAATGAAGGTCTTATGGAAAAAATGACTGAGGCAAGTAGAGAATTTGTTGATTGTTACTATGATTCAAATGAAAATAAATTGAATGTATTAAGAAAAGGTACATCACCAATCATAACATTACCTTCATACAGTAGTATAGAAAAAAATGCCTTGAATTATAAATATGACATGTCCCTAGGAGATGTGTTGGATTTCATCACTGCGTTATTAGAAACCACTGAAACAGACACAACATCAAGAAAACCAGAGCTTGTTTGGGAAGATGACCATGGTAGAACATTCACGCAAAAAGTAATTCCATCGAAAGCAAAATTTTTAGACTTATGGGAAAAAAAATATATCTCGCGAATGCATGTATATTATAGTTTTACCATAGCAGATTTCACTGACGAAAATGATAAAGATAAAAAAACATATAAGTACTTTGATGAGCTTTTCATAACTATAGCGAATATCAGGTTTATCCTTGAGCGAAAGGGCAAACCAACATATAAATTTGTCGGTTATCAGATAAGAATAAATCCTCTCCTTGAGCCTTTAGTAACGTTGAGTAATATTGCTCATGATAACAAACAATTTATATGTAATGTGAATGAACAGCTTGTGCCACCAAAATTTTACGATATCACTGGTTATAAAGATGCACTCGTGTTTGAGTTTTATAAGCGCTTTTCATTCAAAAGAGTTGAAGAATCAACTGATGGTCAAAAAAAGGAATATTATGTAAAAGAACCATATGAAATTCCTAAAGACTCTAATATAATGGTTGAACTTATATTAGAGTCTGGTACTCAATCTCAACATAAATAGTTTACGTGACAGAAAATTTTTGACACGTAAAGTTTACATTTTAATGGAAGCGAACAACAAAGCTCCTGCTAGTGAATAAAGGTTAGTTTACATATGAACGTTTATTTTTACACATATATGCGTACATATGCGCGCCCGTATGGTGTCAGTTTTCTGTCACTTTTTTCATTGTGTCGGTGACTGTAGCTGTAGGCTACAGGCGACGCCAATGTATACTGTACTATCATACTTTATAACGTAAATAAGAACTTGACCTATTAAGAAACTTCCTCATAACAATTGCAAAACAATTCGTCGACTTACCTCTGCAGGTTAAAGTTCCTTACAACCTTATGTCTCACCATTCTCAAAACCCTTACGACCTCCTATAATACCAATAGCAACTTCCTCATACAATTCAAGACAAAATTGTTCCAACAATTCAAGACATTTC